TTCTTTTTTCTTTTTTAATTTTCATGTCCTCTGCTTAGTAGAGGAATTGGATGCTTATATAGGCCCCAAGTTTCCTCATCTTCTTCGCCTCGTCGCCTTTCTTCACCTCTCTTCTTTCCATACTTCTCTCTCTCTCCCCCACACTTTCCAATCCAGATCTTCAATCCCCAGACCGATAGCTCTCACAGCTTGGTCTCCCTGTTTCCAATCTATCTTTGCGATCTAGGGAACACAGATACTCCATATCTAACTCCCTATACTATCAGAGCAAACCAAAACAGCCGGCCAAAGCTGTCTGTCTCAAATTCCCTTCTGATCTATATACCATTTACACTTGTTGTCTACACCAAATTTCCATCATCAACGTGACAGAATACCGTCACGACTTCAGCTACCCGATAGTAGCAGCTGTCCAACAGGTATACACGAATACTCGATCAGAAATTCCGGACAGAAAAACACACTCGGCCTTTCTCTCAGCATCACCGTCCCTTAGCGCCAACTGATGAAACCCTGAACGACTTATAGCCTATTTGAACAGCCATTGCGCCTTGCCATCTCGGCCCTTGAGCGCCATTTCTTGCCCCGGACTGTGTCACCAGAAGCCCTACCGATCCCAATCCCGAGAGATCTTGCCTTTGCGACTATAGTAGACTTAGCCCCCATTGAACGGCTTGCCAATTGACTACCCAGATCCCGGACGGTAGACGACCACCACCCTCCGGTCTCGAGAAGTTTCCCAGAGCGCGCCAGCCCATCTGTCCAAAGCAGCAAACAAACCGGCATCATGTTCTTCAACCCATTTAAGAAACACGACCACGACTTCCCCGATGTGGTCGTGCCCCTCGGCAGTGCCCCAGCGCATTCCCACCCGAACCCGGCGTTACATACAAAGGATTCTGGCCCTGACGAGAAATCTGACGCCCGAAGCGATAAAGCTCCCTCCGAGGAGAACGGAGTCGCTACCTCGCTCTCCGACAATGCCCACTTGACCATTGAAAGCCTACGCGCCGAAGTCGAATCAGACATTGTCGCTTCCGGCCATGACTCCGCTTATGACCGTATGTGCCTATGTTTTTGCCCATGACATAACCTCTTGCCCCTTATCCAAAAAAAAAAAAAAGAAGAAGAAAAGAACAAAGCCCCGTATAGCCCCGTTTGAGATGCGGATCTGATAGTTGTCCACAGGCAAAGCAAAGGTTATCAACAGAGCCATCCAGGATATCGGCATGGGCCGTTATCAGTGGGAGCTGTTTGCCCTCTGTGGATGTGGTTGGTTGGCAGACAAGTAAGCGAATATTTCTCTGCCTTTGATAATTGAATTTGTGGCTAACAATCCTTGGTTAGTCTCTGGTTGCAGGTAAGAAGCTGGGCGATGCTTTATTGATATGTTCCCATGGCATGTACTAAGGTTATGTAGGGTGTTGCCCTAACATTGACTCAACTGTCAGCGGAGTTCGGTGTCTCTGAAAGTCGTGTCCGTTTCACTACCTGCGCGTTGTTCTTGGGTCTCTGCCTGGGTGCTTCGTTCTGGGGTGTTGCATCGGATATTATTGGACGTCGTCCTGCTTTCAACCTGACTCTCCTCATCACCAGTGTGTTCGGTCTGGCCGCCGGAGGTGGCCCCAACTGGGTCGGGTATGTCCTTTCTTCCTGCTCCCAATGATGAAAAACTGCTGACGGATAAATCAGTGTCTGTGCCCTATTCGCCTGCTTGGGTCTCGGTGTTGGTGGAAATCTTCCAGTTGATGGCGCTCTCTTTTTGGAGTTTCTCCCTTTCGCCTCTGGCAACCTCCTGACCATGCTGAGTGTCTGGTGGCCCATTGGCAACCTTATCTCCAGGTATGCTCGACCGTCTCTGGATACGTGACAAATCAGACTAACAACCGACGAAGTCTGCTCGCATGGGCATACATTCCAACCTACTCTTGCGCTAGCGACCTGCCTGCCTGCAACAGCGTTGCCGATGGTGTCCAGTGCTGCACAAAGCAGGACAACATGGGCTGGAGATACCTGGTCCTCACCCTGGGTGCGCTGACCTTTGCCATGTTCTTCTGCCGCTTCTTCCTCTTCCACCTCTACGAGTCCCCCAAGTACTTGCTCTCTCGTGGTCGCCAGGCCGAGGCTGTCCATGCTGTCCACGGCATCGCCCACAAGAACAAGAAGCAGACCTGGCTCACCGAGGACATCCTCAACGAGATCGGCGGCTACCCGGAACAAGTCGCAAAGCAGACTCTCACCTTCAAGGAGATCATTGTGCGATACCTTTCCAAGTTCTCCCTGGAGCGTATCAAGCCTCTATTCGGCACCAAGAAGCTGGGTATCAACAGTACGTCTCACTTCCAAATACTCCCCACCGCACGCACACTAACATGAAACCTCCCCCACAGCCGTGCTCCTCTGGTTCTGCTGGGCCACCATCGGAATGGGCTACCCGCTCTTCAACGCCTTCCTCCCCCAATACCTCAAACAGGCCGGCGGCGGCGCCGAACAATCCACCTACATCGTCTACCGCAACTACGCCATCACCTCCATTGTCGGCGTCCCGGGCTCCGTCCTGGCCTGCTTCACCGTCGACATCAAATACGTCGGCCGCAAGGGCACAATGATCATCTCCACCATGATCACCGGCGTGCTTCTGTTCTGCTTCACCGCCACCACCGACCCCAACATCCAGCTCCTCTGCTCCTCCCTCGAGGCCTTCTTCCAAAACATCATGTACGGCGTCCTCTACGCCTACACCCCAGAGGTCTTCCCGGCCCCCAACCGCGGCACCGGCACCGGCATCGCCAGCTGTCTCAACCGCATTGCAGGCCTCTGCGCCCCCCTCGTCGCCATCTACAGCGGCTCCGCAAACCCCAACGCCCCCATCTACGCTTCCGGCGCCCTCATGCTGGCCTCCTTCGTCGCCATGTGTCTCTTCCCCATCGAAACGAGAGGAAAACAGACCCTCTAGACTCTCTGTCATCCCTTCTCCTCCCCCTCTCATCTTTACTTTTCCCGTGTCGATGTAGGATATAAAAATTGCTTTTTATGTGCATGATACCATTTTTTTTTTTTTTTAAAAACGCCCCCCCCCCCCCCAGGTAGAATCCGAGGATTCACCTCGCTATACATATACATATACATATACATACCCTTTTTCGTGTATACATTGGTTTCGATTCAAGTTGATTGATGTTATGGTGAACGACACATGAATGATTGCTATGCTATATACCTGCATCCCAAACCGAAAATCAATGTATATATATATGCCCCGTTATACACAGATCCTCAATACTCATATACCCTTGTGTGTGCATGGCCATGTAGTTTGGCGGGATGTGTTGGATACCAGGTTTTTTTCTATCTCTTTTTTTTTTTTTTATGTTTTTGCAATTTTTCAAAGTACTTTGGCACTAAGTGGTCGAATGTTTAATTCTCTTGAATAGATAATGAAAAATTACAATAAAAAAGTCAGGTTTATTGGTTTGTGAGATATAGTACTTGTCCTTGCCGGATGGGTGAAATGTCTTGCTCTGCTGCCTTAGGGCTACGGTGACAGTGACGAGGAATTGTTTCAGCATTTTTGAATACATCAGATAATCTAGATGCGTGTCTCTGTTACTTCTGTACTGTACAACATCAAGGGGAGTTTACGTGTAAATGAGACCAAACAATTACAAAAGCAGGCCAATGTAACATGCGGACTTTGAAATGCAAGTAATCCCTATGTCCCGGATTCTCCATATGCCACAAAATAATGAAAAGTGCGCAACAGAACATAAAACAGTAACGTAGATATCCCCGTAGAGAAACCCAATAAAGACCCATAACAAATGCTTTGCCCGAACCTGAATAATCCAGAAAAAAAAAAAAAAAAATAGAAAAATAAAATAGAACCCTAGGGAATAACACCCGAGACAAATGCGACCCTGCCACCCAATGATCATGGAATAGAATTCATGGCCCATCGTTCCTAGTCGTAATAATTCATTCCGGAGGTATAAAGACTTTAGACAACCTGGTGCCGTCTACCTCTCCTCTCTAACAATGTCGCGTTATCCAGACTGAGTTCGAAAGGTTGCCGCGACGCCCGAGCGATATTCTGCTTCGCTGCCGCCGCCACCTTAGCACTGTGTGTGCCGTAGCCCTGCTGCGGCTGTCGAGGCTGGTATGCCTGTCGTGCTTGGGCGGCAGCGCTCGGCTGAGTACCCAGATTTGTGGATCGTAATTTGGCTTCCATTGCAGCCACTTCTCGAGCCTGTTGAGAGTTCTTGTGGACCTTCGGCGCCGCATATTCATTCTGGTGAATGGGTTGGTATGTGACTTGGGGGACATCCTCGTCATAATCCTCGTTGAGTGGATTCAGAGCCGACTGGAACCCGGTGGTCGGGTTGGCCCCGCGGCCGCGGGATGTCTTCAGCCGCTTACTTTCTTCTTCTTGACGATGGACGGCGTAGCCGACATCGAAGACCTCGCGCAAGTTGATCGCCCCCGGCGACCGGAAGTCCATGGGGCGTTCCAAGCCGGCAGAGGGCTGGTCCGACAGTCGAGCGCTGGCTGGGGCATATGGTGCCTGGTCCGCCGCGAAGGCGTCCAACGGCTGTTGACGGGCGGAAGGCAGAGGAGTCGTCAGGGGGGGAGCGTCTGTGGCCGCCTGGGTTTCTTCGTCGCTTCCACGTATCCACGGGTGGGCCAAGAACTCTTTAATTGAATATCGTTGTTCAGGATCCACCGTCAGAAGATGGGAGATCAGATCCTTTGCAGACTTCGAGATGTCATCCCACCACGGCGACAGGAAGGTGTACTGGCCACGCGCCACCTTCTCCGTTAGGACTTGGATGCTCTCGTCGTAGAAAGGCGGAAAACCACAGAGGAGAGTGTAAAGCACACAGCCCAGAGCCCACATATCGACACTCTTCGAGTATCTTTCATCCTTGACGATCTCCGGGGCTGTGTAACCAACAGTCCCACAAGGAGTCATAGTTTGACTATCCCAGATGACTTTGGAGAGACCGAAATCGGCAATTTTAATGACACCGATCCCGCCGGATCCCTTTCCGGGTGTGAACTCCCCTTCATCGACTTTGTCCTCATCACCGGGTTGAAGAGGCTTGGGGTTCTTGCTTGGAACGAATGGAATAGGATAGAACAAGAGATTCTCCGGCTTAATATCACTAGAGACGCTGTTAGCCACTGGTCATGCTGTCTCAAGGCATCGGGAGGATCTTACCGATGGACGACGCCGGAAGTCTCGTGCAGATACTCAATTGCTTTTGCAACCTGAGTGATGACATGTCGACTTAGGTCCTCGCTGAAGTAGGTTAACCGTACGATTTGATGGAATAATTCGCCGCCAGGGCAGAGTTCCAGAATGATATAGTAGTATTGGCGTGATTCAGAAAAGGAGATCAACTTGACGATGTTCGGATGGTCTATTTGGCGCATGATTTGGACTTCTTTCAAAATGTTGGCGCGCTGTGAATCGTAATCAGTAACCCTACCCTATAAGAATTTGCTCGGTAAGAAACAGAAAACACGAAGGAGAATCGAGACGCAACAGGAAATAAGAAAATTTCATATCAGTATGGTGTGGCTAAGAGATTTGCGCACCTCTGTAACCTTGGTGTGTTTGACCTCGGGATGCAGATGGGCGGCGGACTAAGAGAGACGGCGAATGGTTCGGTTTAAGCGCACAGAAAAGAGAGAACGAGTATAACTCTGAGCAGATGAGGGTAAATGGGAAAGAGGAGGGAGGTGGCATTGGGAGAACAACAAGGGATTCAGATCAGATCAGCCTACCTGATTGCTATTCATTTCAAACTTGCGGACGACTTTAATGGCTACTTCATTATGCTCCCCCGTAGAATCTTTGGCGCGATAGACGTTACTAAAGGCGCCGTCGCCCATCTTGTCCGTCAAGATCCAGCGCTCCAGTCCTGGATACTTGGGCATTTTGTTTCGTTGGCTTCTCTCCTCGGCGACAATCTGCTCGATCTCCAAATCACGGACTCGCTTCGTCTGAGAGTCCGCTGCCGACTTTTGCGGTGCTTGAGCTTGACCGTTCCCAAGCCTGCTGTCAATTGCATCTAGGTTACCTGCGGCAGGAGGGTACGAGCCTTGGGGTTGGCGTTGATGCTCGGCATGTATGGGCGAAACATTGGTGGTTGGCTCGGCATGGGGAGTTACCAAGCGGGCTTGTTTCCCATGACGTATGAAATTCTTCAAATTTTGAATGGTACTCATAGTGCTGAGTAATCCGGCCCTGTCCAAAAAAAGATAGAAAAGAGAAGAAAAGGGTAAAAAGAAGTAAGGGCGTGGGGGTGGAAAGAGGAGAGGCGGGCGTCGGGGAAGGAGGACACAAGTTAAAGGAATGGGAAATCGGACAAGGGAGGCAAAAAAAAAATAATGATGATGAGAGAATATCGGGTCGAATGACGTTGGTGATGATGGTAGTTTCGGCCGGTGGGGGGAATTAGGATGTTCGTATTTTCCTCACTTCCGTAGTGAAATTTTTAGCCTTTCCTCTTTTCCGTTCCTCTCTTAAATTAAATTTGAAGAATTTCTCTTATTTTTTTTTTTTTCCTCTTTTCCTTTTGATTTTTCAAGTTTCCTTTTCCTACCCCGCCGAAAGTCTGGGCTGGCGTCAGTGGGTAACAAAAAGGGCAAACAACTTCTGGTACTAAACGTTTTCCAGTGGTCAGAGTATATCCCCGGAATGAGTGATAAATTAAAACAGAATGTTGGAGGAAAGATCAAGCGAGGAAGTAGACGGGGGGAAAGAAAAAGAAAAAGAAAAAGAATCTGTAAAGGATTCCCTAAGCAGTGTAGTAGTAGTCAAGGGAATGGGGCACTTAATTCTAAAATGCGACGACGGAGTAGGGAAGCGAATTGATGAGGGAATCAGAGGACAGGAATCAATGGTGGGGAAAAGCAGGCTGAGGTTGAAGTATCTTCTTCTTTAATAAAAGAGATCAGATGAGACAATGCCAGAGATCCCAAAGAAGGGCCCGATTCGCGACCTACCTCATCGGCGGTGATCATAATTCAATTGAGAAATCAAACCGGGAATTCCTGTTCGATCCTTTTCTTTTCCTTCTTCTGTATTGTTCGCTTTTCTCGTCATTATGAAGGGAATGTTCAACGATGACGTCGCACATGGAGAGACTCTCTGGGGCAGGCGGTTATGTCATCCGATGACTCAGCCTCTCTGGCTCTTCCCTTTTCCTCTCTCTTTCTCTCTCTTTCTTTGTCTTGTTGTTTGCTTCATGCAAGTAGCACCATAAGTGCTAGTGGATGGGTTAAACTAGGTCCCATACGGTACCATACCCGTCCCCTCCCCTCCCCTATCAAACAGGTACCGTACCAATAAATTGAGGTTGAAATTGATATCATACGCTCGGGCTAGGTTCTTCCTCCCCGATCCTCTTTCGTCATCCGCAGAAGCGTCAGCCGAACTATGTACAGTAAAGATGGCGACAGAGCGAATGAAAAAAAAGAACTTTTGAATAAATCAACAATTTTTTTTTTTTAAAAAAAAAAAAATTAATGGAGACTAAGCAACATGAATAGCGATATGGCATGTACATGTCTGTAAGGTACTCGTACTTCTGTCCCGATCAAATACAAAAGTACATATGCAAAGCCTGGGGAAGTGCCTTACGCTACGCTATGTATCTCGGCGATCTGGATATCCCGTGTCGGTACTCCGTACGGAGATAAGACAGGATCTGCTTCTTCCATGTAAAGGGAACCAAAAACCCTCCATGACCGGTTCCTTGACCGGGCAACTTCGTTTCGGACTCAGGGTTTGAAATTGCTCTCGGCAACCATGGGCACGAGACGCCACTCCCGAGATAATAAGAGATAATAAGCATGATTAGCATTATCTATGACATGTCGTGGAGGTCAGAAAAAGAAAAATGGATAGCATCAATTGAAAAATCAATTCGAATCAAAATGGACTAAGTAGCAGTATTACTACATGTACTGTGTAGTAGTACATCAGCATGTACAGAGTTAGCAGTGTGACTTTGGACCGTCGTACAGTCATGGGCGAATCAAAGTGTCTGGGACTGAAAAGAACCTTTGCTGCAGGGGTTGAAAAGCGAATTAACTCAGTCGTGAATTTTGATCAGGACTTTGGCTCTGCAAGTCGACTACCCCTCGTCAGCAATTTCACCCTCTCTTCCCCCCGCCTCTTCATGTATCGTGTCCTCATGTATGGTTGAACGACAACTCGACGGTATACGGATGTAATTATTTCTACAGAATAGACTGGTCATCATCGCTACAGGTTTATAATATCCTTGTGGATCATTCTCGCCTGTCACTGGCCCACCCGAATCAATCCACTTGCACATCAGATCCGCAACGTGGAATGTCCCTTTCATCGCCTCGCTGTCGCACTCGGTTCATCTCTTTGGTACCAACGCGGTCTCTCCTCGCGTGTCGCGCCCTGCCTCTTCACATTTTTTAAGTTGGGTACTTACTCTATTTCTCAAGTCTTTCAGCCTCTGGACTATTACCGATTGAGAGTGGATCTCTCATATTTTTTGGGTTTCCATTGAGACGCGCTTCCCGAACGGTACCCTTACGCTGCCCTTGCTTGATTCTATTATTGTTCCTTTTTTTTTTTTTTTT